CCATGAATTAATAACACTGTTTGATTCTCTTTTTAATAAAAACTCATTCACTTCTCCATTTGTATCATCAATTTGTTCAAGATTTATTAAAATACTTAATTTATCTTCTTTCTTTTCACCTTTATGAGATATTTCTTTGGTTTCTAATGGTATGTAAATGGATTTAGCATTTTTAACTGCAGCTTCTTTCAATACCTTCCATTTTCTAATTTCAAACAATTATTCAACAGATTTTCCTCTCAAAAATTTAATATCGTTACCTAGGCTTTTGAGTTATTCCTTCATTTCATTGATTTTTCCCTCCACTCTAATCAAGCCTTTTCTGATATGATTAACAAAGTCAGTTAGCAGTCTAAGTTATTAACCCATTTCACTGATATTTTCAATTTATTAATCTAATTGCTCAGTCGTTTCATCAAGTTCTTTTAGTTGAATATCTCGCTTGTTGAGATTAGCCTCATGAGAAATTTATTCCTACAATTCATCAATTCTGTTCAACATTTTCTACATTTCTGCTGCAATTCTATCATGTTAAGTCTACCAATCTTTCGAGAAAATCTGCATTTACAGACTTATCAATTTTTCATTTTTTAGAAGATTTCTAACTCTAAGATCTTTTTCTTGAACCCATAATTAAATTAGCTCTTTTTAACAAAATCGAGTAATTTTTTCTGTAAAGCTTTGCTATGAAATCTAAATAATTGTTAACACTAAACCCTATTTAATTTTCCATTCATCATCATTGTATTCAACTTTAGAGAATAAATCTTATTGAATAGTTTAAAATTCATATTCATCATTTTCTTGTAGGTATATTATTTTAGTTAATTAAATTAGTTACTCTTGATCAAACTTATTTTCTTTGAATTTCCACTTAGACTTTATTAATTATTCTTTTGCTTCAGCCATTAACTAATAGAGAAAATCAACTACATTTGTTGATTAAACATTATTTTCACCTGTTAAATTATAACCTTACAATTTGACCTAAATTCTTTAAAAGCAATCTTTACTTGTTTCTGCTTACAATTATTTTAAATTAGCAGTTGTGAATTGTTATTCCTTAAAGGAGTTTAAGTGGTTTTAATAAAAACTTGAAAAACTTGTATATATCTCCAAGTGATATTCTTGAAGTACATCAAGGCTTTTAGTAAAATTGTTAACATTTTCAAGGAATTAGACTAAGTTTTGCTTGGTTTATCTGGTTTTTATTAATAATAATTATAGAACATTAATAATGATTGATAAATTTAATCTAATTTTGTGTTGGACATCATTATTTTAATCTTTAACAATTATTTGATTAACTTTATCAGTTTTATTGGTCATATCACAATAATTTTTTTTAAATTCATCAAATTTTTCTTTTAATTCTTTCATTTTTTTTATTGTTGGCATTCTAAAAATTTCTAAGTCTTAGTTAATGGAAGCTTTCAATAATAGAAAAACGATTTAAATCTGACTGATTAGTAACTTCATTTATTCTACCTCCTCACAATTTTCTTAGTAGTTAATTTTTCTTAATTATTACAGCAATATCTCATACTTTTCTTTCTCTATTTTCAATTAATTTTGATTGAGAGATTTATTTTCCATAATGTTTAATGAAATGTCTATTGAAAAATCTTTTACTATTTTCATTATTACTTCAGTAATAGTAGGGGGATTGATTTCTTCTATAAATAATTCTCCAAATTCCTTTTCAATTTATTCTAAATCTATTCTTTCTAAGTCAATCTTTTGTTCTTCTAAAGTTAATTACAATATAAGATATTCTAAACTACCTTTAAATATAATTAAATTATTTTGATAGTCTTGTTCAGTAATTTATAAATTACTTAATTCTGCAATGGCCTAACTTTTTATTGAACTGTCACAGCACATTATGCGTTTTGGATAATTCTAAACTACATCAATCAGAAACTCATCTAAATTGATATCATATTGTAATTTTTTAAATTCTTTTGATGGTATTGTTAATATATTTTAAAAGCATTCCTTGAAAACAATTAATTTCAAACTTAGCTTTAACATGTTCAATCTTTATTCGAGTAGACATTAAAATGAAACTTTTTAAGAATATTTTAATTAAATTTCTTTTAATTTTTCAGGTTATGAAACTGACTCTATTTCATATTGTAAAATTAGAAATGTCTTCAAACTTAAATTTAATTAAGTAAAGTAATTTTGGAGTTTATAGACCTGGTGTTCATAATAAGTATTCAGGTTATTCAATTAAAATTTAAAGTATTGAATTAAGTTATCCTTTTGAATTAAAAAAATTTCTAGCTCTGAGACTTATTTTTCAGTTTGTTCAATAAGTTTTAACATGCATTGAGCTTCTTTCAAAAAACTCCTCTAGTTAAGAGCATAATTGGGTAAGGCAAATAGCTTCTAATTCAACTTATTCATGAAGGAAAATTATTTTTCTGTTAGATTTAAATTTTATAATTTCTTCTAAATCAACTCTATCTATTACTAAATCACTCTGCTTTCATCAGGTTCAGTTCTATTCTCTTTAGTATCTTAAATTGCTTATGATAATATTTATTCTAACAGTCTCATAATATATTTCAGTTTTTATACTATTTTGAATTCATTACCCTTTTTCTATTCAAGTTATTCTAGCTAAAAATTTTATTTCCTAAAACAAAGCCTAATAATTTTAATGATTTTTTGAGTGTTTAGGAAATATCCTTTGAAGTTGAGATTTATTTTTTTTAATTATGAATTAGATTTGGCTTATTCTATTGTGTCATTAAAATATTTATTTTATTTGATAAAATTTTTATAATTTTTAACTATGACTACCAAGTAATCATAATTTTCCTGAATTAAAGCGAGCAATTTATTAGAAATGGATGAAATCAAGAAATTGTTAAATATTGCCAAACTGCCTATTTATATATATTTTCTTAGGGTTCTATACTTCCTAACTTTAATTTTAAATACGAACCAAATGTGAAATAGTTATTATCAGTTTTTTCATTCATTAAGAAATCTTTAAGCAACATGAGGTTTTCCCATTCTATGAAAGTGTCTTCTAGTATTAATTTATCAATTTAAGTTAATTCTTTATTTTTAAATTAATTAAGTAAAACTACAGCTTAGTCATTGCTATAATTCAATTACATTAGAAATCCTTTGTTCAGATATTCCTTCCATATTTACCTTGATTTGGTTTCAAAATTGAAAGGGCTAGTTAGCTGATTTAATTTTTTTTTTGTTATGAGAGGATGATAAGTTATGATTTTTCCAATCATTTAAATCCACAAAAAATGATTTTTCCAATTACTTGCATTTTTCACTAGATTTTCATGTATTTTCTCAATTCGTGAGAGTATTTCTTCCAAATTCTAGCTGCCATTTTTCAAATTATTTATAATCTCCCATTACAACATATCTATTTAAAAATAATCTTCATATTATTATCTATTTTTCTAAGCTGCATAATCATTATATAGCCAGACGGCTCCGTCATACAATGATTTAAACAAATCAACACTTGGTTTCATATCAATTATTGAGTTAATGATACCCTGTAAACAACCTTGTAAAATAAGAGCCCTTTCTTTACCATTATTTGGGGCCATCTGAAAAGAAGTTTAAGTT